AATCCCTATCCCCCCCCCCCCCCCACCTTCGCGCCGGGCAATTCAACAGTGGAAAAAATTAATTAATTGTATATTAATTATTATGGTTCGCCCACAACCAAATTTCTATTCAAACATACCCCCACCCCTTCAACTACTCCTTCAAAAATGTTTCAACTCCCTCGGCCTTTGCAAACATCACCTACCCCCCGCCCCCTCACTCTCCGCAATTCGACAGTAGAGTAAATTAATCAATTGTTTTTTAATTATTATTGTTCATCCCCAGCCAAATTTCCATTCAGATACACCCCTCAACCCCTGAACTATTTCTCGAAAAAAGTGTCAACCCTCGCGGTCTTTACGTATGCCATCCACCCCTTCCCATTCCAATTTTGCGGGAATAATATATGCATCAATTTATAATAGATTATTATTTGTTTTCCCCGAACTATTTTCTATTTTGAGCAGTCCGCTTGGTCCTAAACTTCTTCGCAAAAAAATTGGATCCGACCCCCCTTTTGCTAATCCCCTATAATGCAGCTTTCAACCGAGGGGGGTGTATTTGAACTACACTAGTCGCTGCGTGTGACACGCTGCCTGTGGTAGTGCCACCAAGCCCATATATGGATTTCTGCATGTGATACGCTGCGTGTGGTAGTGGCACTAGGCTCATGTATGAATTTCTGTGTGTGACATGTTGTGTGTGGTTATGCCATCCGGCCCATAAATGAATTTCTGCGTGTGATACGCTACGTGTATTAGTGCGAATAGCCATGGCGTTGATTTATTTACGGTCAATGATTAAACGCCAAAGCTGAGACGGTCCATGATTTAACGTGAAGGGCTAAACCATGCATGATCAAATATCCACGATTTAACCTTTGATTATTGATCCTTTAGCCCTTGAGGTTTAAATATTAATTTTCCAAGTTTAGCGGGAAATAACATATTTTTGAATGTAGTATTCTTTTAAAAATAGAGCCATCAATCCCACACTATGTCATACAAGCCTGAGTAGCGCAGTGATCCCAACACACATATAGTCAGCCGCTACAGCACAGAGGCGAATTTTCCATGAAATTTCAATGGTTAATAACTCAATAAGAAATGATGTATATATTATGGAAATGATTGCTATCGATTTTTCCTGTTATGTCGGTGCAGGTAATACAAGGCTGCAAGGATTGTCGAAGAAGACGATACTGCATTATGGACTCTGCAGACGACATTTTCCTGCAAAATTATTTTCAAGTATCGATCAACAAAGGTTGAACTGGAATGCGGCCCTTCTTCCATATGTTAACGAACAAGAGTTTCGGATGGAAAATGAAGCAACCAATAATGGTTCCTTCAACCAATGTAGACGAGACAAGCCAATCGTTAACAAATGGAAAAGAACTTGAGATTCAAACTGCAGTATCAGAGGATCCTGCCATCCCTCCGATCAACAGTTATGAAACGAATGAA